ATTTTGTATGGTAGGATTATATGCTTTAATTTGCATTTATTTTCCATGGTAAGCCTTAAGATATCCTGGTAAAGTTTTTCTCACACAAGAACAGGGTAAAGCTGTAAAGTAGGAGCACCAGGGGACTGCAAACAGTACCTATCTCACCTGCCTGTTTGGCAGTGTATACAAGAAGTCCGAGTATGTGACTCATTTCAACCATACCAGTTTATGGTGAGCTGGCAATACAGCACTCAGCTAAGTGGTACTTAAACAAAAAGGCTTCCTGGCAGGAGAACATATTAGGCTGAACACTTGAAAAATTCACGTGGCACTTGCTACCATGTACTTAAAACTGAAAACTAATACACATAGGGGCTCTTATTTTTTTTTCATTTTTCATTTTCTTTTTTTCCCTGAGCAAGTTTTTAGCTAAGGAACTGTGTCAGTGTCTCTTCTGCAAATTATATACTACAAGCGAGTTACTTACACAGAGAGATCATTGCACAAAAGACAGCACAAAAATGTAATTTATGTAAGAACATCAGATCAGCAGGAAAACACTAATGAAAAATACATGCAGTCCATTCTACAGGAAAAGTAAACAAAACTAACTACTGATGTGCCAATGAAAATAATTCTTCTATTTAAAACGGCAGTCAGTATACCACCATGTTATGATTTGATGGCATCGTTGAAGATTTCCTTCCAACTCTAAACTCCCCAGAAATCCAATGTAGTTTTGTACTCAGTATTTAAGCAGTTTAAAACTACTGATAGTTAAAATGAAACATTAGAACAAATACAAAGCTAACTTGCATTTCATAAGTCTGTAGAAATATGTTAAACATTATGTATCCTGAATAATTCAGCCATCATGCTACCTCCTTTTACCAATACATTATGCCAAAAAAACATGACAAAATATAAGATAAAAAGGCAAGAGATAATAAAAAGATAAACCTGAGGGTTTATGTTGCACTATTTTTTGGTTTGTGGAATCTTTCACATTTGATAAAGTCCGTGAACATTCGTATTAATCAGTTCTACAGATTTAAAATTTGACTGTCTTGTGCATGACTTAACAGCGATTTCTATTTTGAAAGAATTTACAAGGTATTTACAGCATTTATCTTTTTTAGAAAAACAAAACCTAACGAAAGCAAAGCCTGAATAAGGTGAAAAAAGTGGGATAATTTGATTGCATTAAAATGCAATTCAAGTTAAAGAATAAACCAAACTAAATATTTATGTTTAAGAAGCTCTCACAACATATCCTTTGTAAGCATGATGCATAATGTCTGCAATTTTTCTACTTTACAAAATCCTGCCACAGAAGACAGTGATATATTTTAGTGGATTTCATAGATACAGTTACAGAATACCAGAGTATTTACTGAAGTGAGGATTTGGGAATCCTTCCAAGTTTCTCATCCCCTCAACTCTAACTAGCTCAAGTGCAGGTATTTCGGATTATATGTCCAATGATGTACTTCACAGAGCCTAACAAATGACTGATGAATCCTAAATTAAACTAGACAGAAAAGAGGACAACAGCCAGAGTACCTTTGCTATCTTGCATGCAGAGACAGAGGTGGATGTCATTTAAGTGTCCAATCCTATTCTCAGTGAAGGCAATGGAAGAACTGCAACAAATTTTGAGAGACAGAATGCAGTTCTAACAACTCCAGAGAACAAACAGTTACCTATCACACTAGGAAACATATAACAGCAGACTATTTAAGTGTGCTGTCATTCCCTTGAAAACTCCCTGTTGCGGTTCGTGAGAAAGTGGGGCCTGTTCTGAGAATGACCAATCGGGAATTTAAGCTGGAGACAGCACAGTATTTATCTTTCCACTGCAAACAGAGGAAAATATGCAGCTCAGCAAGACCAGGCATTATTTCAGCTTTGATGGGGACAGAGGAAGACAAAGGAGACAAAAAACATTTTTTTCTGCGAAAACATCAGCAGCAGGGTCTTCTCTTCAAAGAGAGGCCACTGCACTCTAATCCTTGGATGGGGAGGGAAGCCATCCACCATCACCCGGGATTTCTTCAGGAAATGGGGGAGCCAGAATGCACCCTTGGCGCAGACATGAAGGAATATGACAGTCCTGCCTGTCTTCCCATTCCTTCCACATAAAGAAATCTGACTGTCCTTCCTACCCTCTCTTCTGGCATTGCCAAATCATGCTGTGGACTGGGCTTAGAGCTGCCTGTATCAGTGCTTTGCAAAATGTCCCATTCCTTCCCAAGAGCCAGAAGGTAAAGCCTGAGCAAAACCCCTCATATCAGCAGTGTACCTGTAGTCCCTGCCATGGATAACGTTACATTGCAACATGATTAGTTCACCTTCTTTGTGAACTTATACAGCAGTTAAAGATATTTCTGTTTACAGTAGTGTGAGAACTCCCGAGTCTGCTGAGTAACTGAACCAAGAAAACAGTACAGAACTGCTGCACCTGCTGAGTCAAAACAGAGAAATACTCCTTAAGCGTGTTTAATATACAAAAATAATCCCACTCTAGCTATAAGAATCCCCGTCATGTATTTAGGTATAAGAAACCTTCATTGAAAACATACATGGAAATCCCATGTGAATAAGTAAGTTTTAAGCTTTTAAATACTACAGACAACTATTGTAATATAGCAAAATTTGCTAAAAATCAGAATGAAATATTCAGAACCACTTATTATGGTGAAAAAGATCAGACTGAACTTGAAGGATTCTTTTCAGCATGACAACAGTTAGCTTGAGAAAGTATCCACGTGCTTGGTCTTCAAAAGAAGTTTTTCAACATTATCATCAACATTATTATATTATCAACATTATCAACATTATATTATCAACATTAACATCATAGCTCACTGAAGCATTCCAAGTGAAGTTTTGGTAAAGCCAGCTATTTCTTGGGCATATAAAGGTGGTTACCTGTACCAAGGAAGAGCTTTCACACAATTTTAGCACTTTGGTGAGACTAATGATCAAGTACCAAATGCAGTGCTAGTGTTAGCATGATAAAAAACCTTCAGGAGTTAGAAATGTTGCACCAACAGCAACAAAAATTATTCAAAATGAAAGAAACTAGCTACACTAAAACATCTTAAATAGCTCATTTTTTTCAGTTTCTCGGAAAAATCATATAAAGAATATTTTCCACTGGAAAAAAATGCAAGGTAATAACAGATATTAAAATGAATAACAGATATTAAAATGAAACAAAGGAGGTAAAAGGACTCCAGATGGAAGCAATATTCAAATTCAGTTCAGAAATTTGTTGAAGATGAACAACCAAATAAAACCTGCAAGAATACCACCTCCTAGGACACACTAACAGTAGAAATGGTAGATCATTCTTAACATTTCTGAACATTTTCTTATCAGGTTTGGATACCATTCTACAAAACACACACCAAAACAACCTACTGGATTCATCAAATGAATAGCAAGCAAATTCTTAACCCTCTGAGAGGTCTGTATAGAATGTCTAAGTGAACAATCTGGGATTAAAGTGTATGTAACTTACTAAACTTTGCTACATAATGAATAGATGTGAAGACACTTATATTTAAAGATGTTACACGTCTTTACAAGACAAATAATGAATTATTCTCATATTTACTAAACTAATTCAGTTGATAATTTTTATGGAATTTAAAATATTTTTACTTTTCTTCATTTATTTATTTTTCATTAACTTCAATGTTAAAGGCAGCAGAAGATATATTGTTTAAATACATAGCCAAAAATTCCAACCAGAAGCTAGTGGAGTGTCAAGTCACAGAAAAAAGAATGGGTAAAGTTTTTTCTGATATCAATTCCTTAACTTGACAGTCAAGCAAGGAATTATTGAGGAAAATTAATTACCTCAACTAGAGGTCAGTAACATAACAAGCTTAGTCTAGACAGACAATAAGACAGAAGACATGATGGGAGGATGAATGTTGGGAACTGGAGACTGGAAGCTAGTATTGGATTGAGTAGTTAAGCAGACAGGCAGTAAGAAGACTGGAACTCAGAATCAATGAAGGGCATCGATTAAGCACAATTCAATGTTTTACTTCTCTGAAGAGACAAAAGAGAATATCAACATTAACCCATGCTTTGAGTGAGCATTCATTTTAGTAATATAAACTATCACAACATCAAGTGTTTGGTTTTGAAGGACAAAAAGTGAAGACATTATATATTTCTAATTATTAACGACCACTGAAGGCTTTTTCACTTCTTATGATGATTCTCAGATGATACCAAAACTAAAGGTTCAAGAAAAAACACACACAAGCATACTGGCATGTCCAGAACTCATTACCAGAGTTATGAGGTTTGAAATAGTACTTACTTGGTATGTGTCCCATAACCTGATGGTACACCGTAAAGGGACTTCTCTCATCAGCAAGTTATTCATCCAACGGAATGCAAATTGCAAGTATTTCACCTCATGCTGATCCAAGTGCCTATGAACTTGTTCTGAAGAAAGAATAAACAGATATTTTACTGCAACTTTTCTGTAGTCCATAAGTATCAAAGGCACTGTCTGAAAAAATAAAACACTCTTCCATTCTCAAGCAAATCAAATGTGGTGGTGCATGCAAACTCTTACAACTGTAAGAAAATCCACAAAATATAAGCAAGTAATTAAACACTACATTGGATTTATTTTTCTGCCTCTTGCTAGCTTAAACAATTGCTCTCAGTGGTGCTATCTTAAGAAAAGATTAAACTAAGAGCTTTAAAACATACTACAAAAATAAACAAAGTTTAAAAGTGAAATGATTTGGTACATATATCCTCACTTAATTTCTTAGGCTACAAATTATTTGGGGCAAGTCTACAAGGTTTGCAAGTAACATAATAGCTTCCAAAAATAAACCGCTGGTAATAAAAAGAAGACAACATTAAATAACAAGGCAAAGAAATACAAGGGAAGTGCATGTAAAGGTTGCATTCACTTGAGACAAAAATAGGTGAGAATAATGTGAACAAATTTAAGTAATTTGTAATTTACATAATTTCTACTCTGCTCTCATGAGACCTCACTTGGAGTATTGTGTGCAGTTCTAGTGTCCTCAACATAAAAAGGACATGGAACTGTTGGAACAAGTCCAGAGGAGGGCCACAAGGATGATCAGGGGACTGGAGCACCTCCCATATGAAGACAGGCTGAGAAAGTTGAGCCTGTTCAGCCTGGAGAAGAGAAGGCTGTGTGGAGACCTCATAGCAGCCTTCCAGTATCTGAAGGGGGCCTACAAGGGTGCTAAGGAGGGAGTCTTCATTAGGGACTGTAGTGATAGGACAAGGGGTAATGGGTTAAAACTTAAACAGGGGAAGTTTAGATTGGATATAAGGAAGAAGTTCTTTACTGTAAGAGTGGTGAGGCACTGGAATGGGTTGCCCAGGGAAGTTGTGAATGCTCCACCCCTGGCGGCGTTTAAGCCCAGGTTGGGCAGAGCCTTGGGTGACATGGTTTAGTGTGACGTGTCCCTGCCCATGGCAGTGGGGTGGAACTAGATGATCTGAAGGTCCTTTCCAACCCTAACTATTCTATGATTCTGTGATTCTTAGTCTAACAAATAAATAGAAATAAAAAAACAGTACAAATCAATGGTTTCTAAAGCAATACTCCTACACACTGTATTTATTGAAGCATGTTTACTATTTGAAGGCTGTGATAATCACTTGCATGGGTTACTACTAGAGCTAACAGAACTAATCCCCTCATTTCTCTTATGTATTTAGCAGAATTTCCTCTATAACGGATCACAGACATTCTGCTAACATGTTTTAGCTAACAGGCTTGAGTATGATGTTAGCATGGTGTAAATGACAAATACTACAGACAAGCTAGTGTCTTATTTTATATATATTTATGACAAGAAGTCTTGTTAAAGCCTAAGAAAGATATTCCTAATGTCTTTCTTTATACAGATACAATCTTGGGAGATTTTGCTACTGTTGTGGTTTAAACCCAGTCAGATAACTCGTTCACTCACTCCCCCTACTCCCAGAGGGATGGAGAGGAGAATCGAAAAAAATGCAACTCCCACGGGTTGAGATAAGAACAGTTTAGTAACTAAGGTATAACACAGATCACTACTGCTACCACCAATGATAACAATGATAAAGGAAATAACAAGGGAAGAGAATACGACATCTCACCACCAGCCGACCGATAACTTGCCCCCCCCGCCTCACCATGCTCTGACCGATGCCTCCTCCAACCCTGCAGTCTCCCAGCCCTTCCGGCTAACTCCCAGTTACATCCTGGGCATGATGTGCTGTGGTATGAAATACCTCTTTGGCTAGCTTGGGTCAGGTGTCCTGTCTCTGCTTCCTCCTGGCTTCCCCTCCTCCCTGGCAGAGCATGAGGCTCACAAAGTCCTTGGCCAAACCAAAACATCGCTATCAGCTCTGTTCCCAGGCTGAAAGTCAAAACATTGCACTGCACCAGCTACCAAGAAAGAGAAACACGACTGCTACTGCTGAACCCAGGACAGCTACCCAAGCTATTTTTTATCCACATCGACAGAGGTGTATTATCAGCTAAATCAATGCATAAATGCTGATCTTGAAAAATTCACATTTCTCAGAAAGATCTAAAAAGGCACTAAAATACTAAGTGAACAAAAAAATTAATCCCAAGAGTATGGTTGCACTGTTATAGGAAACATGACCTAAAGATTCAGGCAGTAGAAGTTAAATTGTACTAAATTATAATATAGACTGAAGTTACTCAAATCACTTTTTACTCAAGATGTATTTTGTGGCCATATGAAAGTGTCAGCCAATATGATACACTTGGTTCAATATGGAAGCAAGAAGTAGAAATTTTTTAGATTTTAAAAACAATGAAGAGTGAGCTTTTTAAAAAGTAAGACCAGTCACAACACTTTATACTGAAAGCCCGCCTATCACAACATTCCATCTGCGTCGTGTCTGCAAACAAATACTCATGGGAAAGTATAAAGCATTGGCATTTCTTCATGGCACTTCTCAGCCTCTAGCAATTTGTGGCTAAAGCCCTCTTCAGGAGACCTGGTATTTATGTTCCTAAAGTCATAGCCTTCTGTAATATCAATATAGCCAACCATATAAAACTATGTGCATATCTTAAAACTATCTGTTACCTCTCTTGGGAACTCTTTAAAGTTGTAACTATATATAAAGATATGTGAATCTTTAAATGATTCATTTCTATGTATAATACCAGCTGATTTGATACTTCTGCTATACAGTAGACTGAACTGCTACTATGGGATATGAAAAGGCAGAGAATGAGGGAGGAGAGGTAATGATTTTGTGCTATTTGAAGTGATCTCATCAAGCCCTGGATAATCCCTCTCCTCTGTCATTATGTGTACAAGAGCAGTACTACAGCATTACCACTGTATATTGTGTGTACGCATTGTCAGTATTTCTAAAATTACATGAGGACTTTGTGATGAATTTTCCACTATCCATAATAGCCTCAGCCTTCCAGTCTTAACAACCTGTGACTAATCTTCTTCCTTCCTCTACAAACCTAACATCCTCCCATCACCTTCATACACTTCTTTCCCGGGCTTTCTGCAAAACTCATCAGCTGCCCCAGCTGGGACAGAGACAACAGATAATATGAAGGCTAGTTCTGAGCCCTTCCTCAGCAGCATTGCTAATCTGGGTACCTTTTCCTTTTTTCTTAATAATCAGCAAATAAGCTTTAGAAGAGTCATAGAATTCTGCACAGTGGAGACTTTTCTCCCTCTGTGTAATGCTGATGAAGCAAGCCCTCAGCTTGAAAAGTTACTGGAAAGAAGACAGATGTGGTAATCATGCTCTAAGGTTTGCAACCTTAAACAAATAGGCTTAAAAATTAAACAGGGCAGTTTATATGTTAAAGACCACATTTTGAAGACAGTATGAGCTTCAGAAACCTCTGTATTTTCATTTTCCACACAGAGACCTTGCATGTTTCTACTTCTAAGCAGTTAGAATACAACAGAACAGTTGCAATTGGAAGGGACCTACCGTGATCACATAGCACAACTGCATGACCACTCCAGGCCTGACCAAAAGCTAAAGCTAATGTTAAGGGCATTGTTCAAATGCCTCTGAAACACTGACATGCATGGGGCATTGACAAGCTCTCTAGGAAGCCTCTTCTGCAGTTTGACCACTCTCTCAGTAAATAAATGCTTCCTAATGTCCAGTTTGAACCTCCCTGGCCAGCTTTGAACCATTCTCATGTGATTTATCACTGGATGCCGCAGAGAACAGCTCAGCATTTTCCTCTCCATTTCCCCTCCTCAATTAGCTGCAGAGAGCAATGAGGTCACCCTCTCAGCCTCCTTTTCTCCGAACTAGACAGGCCCAGTTTCCTCAGCCACTCCTCACAGGACATGCTTTCCAGGCCTTTCGCCAGCTTCACTGCCCTCTAAATACTTTCAGAGGCCTTCACATCCTTCTTAAATGATGGGAACCAGACCTGTACACAGTACTCAAGGGGAGGCTGAACCGCTAAACACAGCGGCATAATCATCTCTTTTGACCAGCTGGTTATGCTGCGTTTAATGCACCCCTGTATGTTTGATGCCCTTGTGGCTGCCAGGGCACACTGCTGACTCGTACTGAGCCTGCTGTTGACCAACACCCCCAGATCTCTTTCTGCAGGGCTGCTCTCCAGCCACTCCTCTTCCATTTCACACTTGTGCCCAGTGTTACTCCGTCCCAGGTACAGAATCTGGCATTTGTTCTTGTTAAATTTTCAAATGTTAAATAAACCACTGATGACTGCCTAATGTTCCAATCTATCTAGATCCCTCTGAAAGGCCTCCTGTCCCACAAGAGTCAACTGCACTTACCATTTTCATATCACCAGCAAACTTGTTAATGGGGCATTCAAGTTGTGCATCCAGATCACTGATAATAATATTGAACAGGACAGGCTAGGCCTTGAAGGACAACACTAGTGACCAGTCACCAGCTGGATGTAGCTCCATTCACTACAACCCTTTGAGCTTTCCCTTTCAGCCAGCTCTTCATCCAGAGCACCATTATTAGATTAGATATTCAGAAAAAATACAGACTGCCTTTGCTCTGGGTGAATTCAGCTGCAAGTTAAATATACTGATCTGAGATACTATGTTTGATTTCTTTTGTGTCACATTTAGATACCTATATTGCAGACTACTATAATTAGATAATCCACCACATCAGGATGCAAAAAAGTCAGTTTTATTTCTAACTGAAGTTACTAACTCACAAACATTTTTGTTCTTCATGCAGAAAAACCAAATTTCATTTCATTGCTTGCGGTCACTGAAAGTAAGCAATGAAAAACTATAAATTGTGCCAGGTGTGATATTTCAACTACTGTTGTTAATAGGCACAATGAATTTCTTGAAAGTTGCTTTCTAGTCTAAACAAGTTGAAAAATAGGCTACTAAGTTCTGTGCATTATAAACGATGCAAGACTGACATAGAAGATGCATCGAGTAAAAAAGCTAATTCTTCCTACTTTGTAAGTAATGGTGAGTACAGGCTATTTTGCTGATAAAGGTAATTTGGACAGTCATAATCTAAATTTAATTTTTCCATTTCAATGAAAATAAGTACATGTGTGCAACGAACAAGCGAGATATATAATTACTGTCAGCTTTCAGACTTCAAGTATTTTATAAAAAAATCTTCTACTGCAGTCTGTGATAGTAAAATAGTATTACAGTTAAAAAAATAGCTGTTTTATCAAAATTCAAAAGAAAGACATTATAAGTTTCTCACTACTTTCAATAAATCTATATATAAAAGTTTTGGTGAAGCAAGTCTTCTGATTAAAAAATAAAATTCATTATATTTATGCATTCCAAAGTAATATACCACCAAAAACCTGTCTTTTGTACATTAAAGGCATTTATAACTACTGATAATTTCAGTAAGTACACTTATTAGATATATTAGTATTAATGACCACAATCAGCAACCTTAAACAGATGCTTCTCATGGCAGAAAGACTAGCATACATAAAATGTTTATAGAAAATATTTACAGTCAGCTTCTCAACTGTTTTACTGATTTCAAATCTGAAATACCTCCAGGGATGGTGACTCAACCACTTCCCTGGGAAGCTTGTTTCAACACCTGACAGCCCTTTTGGTAAAGAAGTTTCTCCTAATACCCAGTCTAAACCTCTCCTGGTGCAACTGAGGCAGTTTCCTCTTGTCCCATCACTTGTTATATGGGAGACTGACACCTACCTTGCTACAACCTCCTTTCAGGTAGTTGTGGAGAGCAGCAAGGTTTCCCCTCAGCCAGCTTCTTTGTTCTTTGTTGTACTCCAATGTCTCTCTTGTAGAGAAGGGCCCAGAACTGAACACAATATTCATGGCATGGCCTCAACAGTGCCGAGTACAGGGGAAGAATCGCTC